CTGGCCAGTCGGTACACCACTGGAGCCAGCTTGTCCGCGTCGCGAGTCACCAACTTACTGCTGCCGTTTTAAAGAAGAGCCGAAGAGTCTGCCGTATGAACGTTGCAACCTGGAAAGTTATTGATGTATGAATTTTTAAAGAAATAAACAACGGGTTTCTTATCTATACTAATGTTATAAAGAGGAAATATTTGTAATTTGTATTCATTGAAATAACTCAAAAACTTCTGGGCCGATTTTAAAAATTCTTTCACCGTCAGGTAATATATTCTGTAAAGATGCTATATACTCGTTATTAAATAAATAAAAAACCTATGAGTAACATATGTAGGCTACGTTTTTTAATATTTTATTAATTGCACGCGGACGATATCGCAAGCAACAACTAGTCTACTAATAAAGATGTAGAAGTCATTGTTGAAATAAACTATTAGTAAAATTATCTTTACCACAGGCCACCATATTAGTAAAGAAACTTGTAAACGTGTTAGACATTATTATCGATTAGTAATGAATAAAATAAATTTGTAATGATTAAAATATTGAAGAGTTTAACTGCCTTGTTACATTACCAGTATAAATTAATCGCTACCAAAGACATGTACATCACATTAATGATTATTTATTCCTTCTGTAGAACAAGTATCTAATAAGACTTGTACGTTTTATTAGTTAAAATACGTAATTAACATATTGGTTCCGTTCAATTGTTTGAAACTTGTATGTTTATTAATGTAACAATTAAAGCTAATTATATTTCCCCGACTTTAGTAGTCTCATAATTTTATTCTCTTATTAACACTTATGTCATTTCTGTTAATAGTTGTATATGATTATCTTTGAGGAATGCATGAGTATTATTTATATACAAGTTTAACAGTTATTTAGTTAATTGTTCTGTAACTTAATAGTTTAGAGACAATTAAATTTATAAGTATTAATGGTATGCTGCACGTTCTTGTTTAAAGTTTGCGTTTTTATAGGAAGCAAACATGGAAACAATGTTCACCTTGAGTGAAGTGATTAGATAACCCTTGCACATCCGTAACAAGTTAGCATAGCACAGCTTTTACGATGGGCTTCCATTGTTGATAGACTCGTACAAAAAATGTCATTCCTCTCTTTACCGTTTTGGCATTGGAAACATACGTTTATTACAAACTAGCTGTTCCTGTGCGGATTCATCCGCATGTAATGTCAAAATTCAAATACACAAATGACAATTGCTTCCTTGATGTTGGTAGCAACTTATGGTCTCTTTCCCACATTAGGGTTTTTATCTAAAATATTTACCCCCTTAGTTTAATGGCGTGAAAATATATAACCTAAAGCGTGACGTAAGTGTAGGGCTTTTTTCAAAAATATGCTGTGATTGCTAACATCTTAGGTAAAGAAGAGTGTGTTTACGCTTTATTAGAGAATGTTGTGTGAAAGATGCGCTTGGTGTCATTCGTCTGAAATCACAATAGTTATTAACTCTGTACGTAGTAAATATAAAACATAAAACAATGCACAACATTGTACATCAATTAGCATCTTTGAACACACAAACCATAAAAGTACTACTACTTACATAATTAAAAATATACGAATAAAAACACAAGTTCGCATGAGTATCTAAGTAATTTATTATTAATAAGCAAAAAGTATTATAATACTAAAAATGAACATAGATTATATTGTTATATTTATGTTGCCAACGCTTACAGTGTATCGGAATGTAAGAAATAACAGAAAATTCCATCAGCACAGTGTACAACTCTGAAAATCATGTCAAGTGACATATCATCGAGTTCGTTTGATTGAAGACTCTCGTAGTACTGAATACGAATAATTCGATGAAAGATATTTAAGTATTGGAAAGTACCTCTATGCGGCTATGTGTCAGTTCTCAGGGCGGGCTCGATCGCAAATAAATATGAGTACTCATTATGCGGAATAGCGGAGTGTACTCAGCGGTGACAACGAATTCCGCGCACACTTGTTAATATACTAATTAACCGTTTGATTAATTCTTCAATGTTGAGTTTGAAACTGACGCTCTCTGCGGATGATGCAATTAAAGCTTTTAAATGAAAACTATTTTTTTCTGAATTATAATTAAAAGTTAAGAAAACTTATATCAGGTAAGTTACAAAAGAAAAGGTTGAATAGAGTACACTGTTTTTCCAGTTAAAAAGGCAAGCATTCCAATGTGTTTGTTCTGTTTACAGTTTTAATAATTATGTCAAACACATTTTGTTAAAAATAAAATGCAGATAAATAGAAAACATAGGTACATTTTTGGGATGCAATACAACTAAATTTCCGAATTCTTTTTCCCACGCGTGGAGAGCTGGCTGCATTCATTAACAGGTGTATTTTCACACACGACGTCTTCACACGTTCACTAGAGCTAATTGTAAGTAACAGTAAGCTTACGTTTAAAACGTATCTTGCAGAAAGCGTTTACTTTAATATTTTCGATTATCTACAATAATATTTTATGAAGTATTTAAGTTAGAACCTCGACAAAACGAGCTAGAAGTTATGTTTAATTATTATATTTATTTAATTAAGTTTTAAGCTGCTGTTCTACACACCATAGAGTATTATCGCAATTGGGACTGGAGCGATTATAAAACAACTATCGCTTGATCATAGACAATGTACCCAGAGTAAGCTTTGTTAACCTAAGCCGCTGGGACGTCGCCTGTCGGTATTTTATTTATTTTTTTATTGAAATCGGCCGAGGAATGTAGCGAGAGTGGTCGACACCATCGCAGGTGATAGCACGTAACGTATGGTCATGATAATTGAATGTTTGTATGTCACAAACGGCATCTCCCTCAATGAACACGTAATAAACATTGCTTAGCTATTCGTTGTAGAGAAATAAATCGTGGATTTGCATTTGATGACTTTACGTATAGAATGTTTAACTTAACAACGTAGAAATATATGGAATGCTGAGTTTGGATTGTATTTAGTTTTTTTTTAAGTTAAATTAAATAAATAATCAAGTTTCATTCACAGCATTTAAAAAAATAGATGCAAAGTAGTATAGATGATCTTTAAGACTGCTACAAGCACCTGAATGTTTTACTAATAACTATGTGTAGTATTTCTAAAATTTCCTATGAGTAGAGCAATATTTGTGATACAAAAAAACAAATTAAAATACAATTTTATAAGTGTTTTTTAATTATATCCGAGTAAAATAGAAGTGCATTTACCTTACACTTAGATACTCTTGCAATGAGGTTCTTCTGTTAGCTCTGAAGCGTAACAATTTAAATGACCGGATAATCTGAAATGATGATTGTAAATACACAATATTATGACCATTGAGTGGCCACTAACATGGTCATAGTAATGTCGTAAGACCAAACTGATTTCAGTTCCACATTTGTGCAACATAAAAAAACTTTACAAAATATTAGGAACGTAATTCAAGTAGTATTTTGAATATGTAAGAATAAATATAATAGAAAATAGATGTACCAATATATGACTAGGTAAGCGGTACGTCGGTGCTAATAAAAAAACAATAAATTTTCTAAACCCCGAGTCTTGATAGCGCAGAGGCCAGTCCCGCAGCCAACTGTAACTAAATCTCAGTTTAATCTTATTAATAGACTTGTAAATACTGGATACATTTCATCAGGTCAAATAAAGCATTTTTCTTACGCTTGTCTAGTTGCCGTGATAAGTATAATCTATAGGTAATTAGGCTGTAATATATTGAGCTTTGACGTTACGTTTTTTACCTCATTAATGTTACATTCTGACTACGGATTTATAGCAAGCTGAATATTTATTTAAACTGTGTATATTTTAGATGTAAAAAATGTAAAAAAAAAACACTTCAGAATTAACCTTCAAGAGGCCTACAAAATGAGCCTATACCGTGGTTATAATCTAGGACGCTGTTATATATTTTTATTGTCGTTTCAGTGTTCGTTCCTAATAGATATTGTGAAAAATTGACGAGTATGATGACCACCTGTGCAGTAAGTTTGTGTTTTTTATTAGCGTACTAATAATAGTGGGATAAGAAATGTAAGCGCACCGTTATAATGTGTTACTTTTGTAAAACCTTTCGATGTATGAGTGCTTGGGAATTGTATTTTGCGTAAACGTAAATAAAATTGAGCCACATTGTTTTTAAATAGGATAAATTCTAGAAGACAGTGTAAAGAACTTCAATTAAATGAGGATTGAATAGATGAACTAATTTTGAACTCTATTGAGAGTACAGACTTTTATAAACTGTTTACCAAACAATATTTGGGTTTCATTTGCTATCTTTGTAAAAGCTGAACACTTCCAAGTAGGTAAAGAAACAAAATACGTAATAATATCTAACAATGAAATGAAGTATCTCACTAACATTTGGTAGTTGATCTTTTGGGAAGAAAAGAAATATTCTATTTTGTAAAGTTTGGTCAAAGTGTCTTTAACTTATTTAAATAGAGAAAGCAAAGAGAAAAAAAGTTTCATTGAACTTTGTTGATAATTACCAAGTGTTAGTTTTGTACGTAGCCATTTAACATTGATGTATTTTTAAGAGAAATAAAATTTAAATTCTCAAGAAGTATAGGTTCGTAAAAATGTTTACGTAAAATCGTCAGTTATAAAGATATAAAACGATTGTATTAGTGTTTGCCGAAGCATTGTTACACCGTGTGACAAAGGCCCATCAAGTAACAGCAATTTACCTTAACAACTGTTCATTATTTTGGAATTTTTAACGAACGATTTATGTTGAAATATACGTAACCACCACCTACATGAAAACATAGGAACTTGAAAATAATTACAAATTATTATAAGTACATTTTTTGTTATAGTACATATGTATAATTCTTAGTATATACTAAATTACATGTTTTAGACTCAACAATTGAGTGTAATTATGAGCGTAAGATTGTGGTAAATAAAGGTTTGTTTCCTCGAATCCTAAACATCAATTTGAAATAAAATTCCTGCCCAAATAAGTACATCAAACAGTTTTAGTCGCAATTGCAGCAAAGGTACAAGTTTTCCCAGGCTATAGGTTCAAGCTGTAGGTGTGCTATAAACTTGCGGTGTTTTCAAATCAGCGCTGGATCGGTAACGCAGCTTACA